GATACAAAATCAACATACAAAAATCGGTTGAATTTCTCTACAGTGACAAAGAGAATGCAGGGCTGGATCTAAGAAAAACAATACCCTTCAAATAGCTAATCACAAGATTAAATACTTGGGATTAAATCTAACCAGAAGCACAACGGATCTATTAAAAAAAACAAAACATTATTACAAGAAAGAAAAAGATACCTGGAGAAGTGGAAGAATATCCTTTGCTGATGGATAGGAAGACTCAATATTGTGAAAATGGCAATACAACCAAAGGCAATTTACACGTTCAATGCAATCCCAATACAAATACCAATCCCATTCTTCAGGAAGATTGAAAAGGTAATCTGCAGTTTCATTTGGAATGGAAAGAAGCACCGAATAAGCAAAACACTCCTTTAAAATAGAAAAAAGGTAGGAGGCATCTCTCTCCCTCATTTCAAATCCTACTGCACTGCTGTGGTGGTTAGGACAGCATGGTACTGGTACAATGACAGACACATAGATCAATGGAATAGAATTGAAAACCCAGAAATCAGCTCATCTACCTATGGTCAACTAATTTTTTACAAGGAGATGAAATCAGTTAAGTGGGAAATGACAGTCTTTTTGACAAATGGTGCTGGCAAAATTGGAAAGCTATCTGCAGAAGACTTAAGCAAGATCCACACCTCCTCACTCCATATACAAAAACCAACTCAAGGTGGATCATGGACCTAGGACTAAAACCAAGGACGATAATCTTCATTAAAGAAAAGCTTGGAAGAACTTTAGTAGTTCTAATCCACAACATAAAAAGTCTTCCAAGTATCGTGGAAAATCTTCAACTGGGAGATGAATGGGACCTTCTAAGAATCAAATCCCTATGCACATCCAAAAACTTCTAAAATAGGGTAAAAAGGGAAGCCACAGACTGGGAAAAAGTATTTGGTAATGACATGTCAGATAAGGGACTTATATCCGGAATTTATTAAATACTTGAGCACCACAATAAGATAAAGGTAAATAATCCAATTGAAAAATGGGCACAGGATATGAACAGACACTTCACCAAAGAAGACATTCAGATGGCCAACAAACACATGAAGAAATGTTCAAAATCCCTACCTCTAAGAGAGATGCAAATCAAAACAACTATGAGATATCATCTCACCCCAGTAAGAATAGCAAAATTTAACATAACAGCAAGCAACAAATGCTGGCAAGGATGTGGAGAAACTGGAACTCTTATTCACTGTTGGTGGGAATGTAAAATGTTGCAACCGTTGTGGAAAGCGGTGTGGCACTTTCTCAAAAAGTTGCAAATAGAGATACCATTTGACCCAGCAATCCCATTACTGGGAATATACCCAGAGAGACCATAACCACCAGCCAAGCAGATATCTGCACACCATGTTTATCGCAGCTTTGTTTACAATAGCAAAGAATTGGAAGCAACCTAAGTGCCCATCAACAAACGAATGGATAGAGAAGCTGTGGTATATTCACATAATGGAATACTACCCTGCATTGAAAAACAAGGAACTCGTGCAATATTTTTTAAAATGGGTTACCCTGGAGGACATTATGCTAAGTGAAATATCTCAGTCACAAAGGGACAAATACTGCATGGTGTCACTGTTGTAGAATGGGATTGACATCAGGGTTGGGGTAAGACTGAGAACAAACTGGTTAAATTATGTATACTGTATTGAAACAGATGAGGAAAAGAATAGATTAGAGGCAATATTTGATTGAGTGTTATAGTTAGCATAGGAGTCCAGAATTAAGGTTGCATAGAGAAGTGTACTCGGTGCGGGGGGTGGAGGGAGGTGGGAAGATAGGGGAATTGTGTACCAATGAAGGAATATTTTTTTCTTTTTCTTTTCAAAGAGAGGAGCAAACTGGTGGGGAGGGGTGGCCAGGGAGAAAAGTGCAGCAATAAATTAATGGAAAGAAAAAATCTCCATAAATGTTTATTAAAACTAATAAAAAATGAAAAAAAATAAAAACATACCATCCAAAAAAGTAATATTTTAAAATGTGATTTGTTTTTAAAACGACAGCCCACTCCCAAACTTTGCTGCATGCTCTGTGTGAGCTGCTGTATCCTCTCCCGTTTCTCCCCATGTCTTTGATGACTAGAAGCTCCAGGACGACAGAGCTGGGGTGGTTTCTGTCTTTGTTCTGTGTGTGACCTCTGGGACAGCACTAGCCATGTAGAGGGTGCTCAATACATATTTGTTGGTTGACAACGGATAAATGAATGCCTTCTGCTTGTCCATCAGTCAAACCAGATCCTCCCGTGATCATCCGTGTGAGCCCTGTCCCTGAGAACCAACTGAGGGTGCACTGGAGTCCCCCTGCGTCTTGGCCCCTTCCAGATAAGTTTGGACTCAAATACCAGCTTCGCTACAAGCGCTGCAAATCTGACCACTTCCTGCAGGTGAGGAGCACGAGAGGGAGGACAGAAAGGGGCCTAGAATGGTGACAGCTATGGCCACCACGTTAGATGGGACATCACTTGCAAATTGTGGACGGTCAGCAAGGCTTATGCACACTTTGGGGTGACAGTGTATAATATAAGGGAAGTCAGCAATTTCACTCCCAGCAGTCCACCCACAAGATGAAAACACACCCCACACATCGGTGTCCCCTGAAGCTCTGTTTGCGAGAGCCAGGAGGAGGATCTGCCCATGGTCCATCAGCTGGTGGTCTGTCAGCACTGAAGCATGAAGCCCACCTTGTTGTGATTGTTGGTGCTACTGCATCGGTGTCAACTAATGATGACACGTGTGTGCACTCTCTATTCTCCTCTCACCGGTGTCACTGTCCTTGAACTTACTGGTCGATCACAGTGTCGTCCAGCTCACTTGCAGCTCTTTCTCCTTCTCGTTTTACTGTCAGGGATGGACTCTGACCCCAGCCCTGTCCATGTCTGCGCCCTCTTCCCCACCTGATCTGCACCCCCATCCTGGCAGTCGCCTTGTTGACCCATCTCTCTGAGCGACTCCTCTCTCACTGATTGAATTTACTTCACTAATCATCAAGTCTTTCTCCTGGTCCCTCCCAATAATGTGCTCAAAGTAATTCTGCTCCCATGAGTGTGATCAGAATAACCGAAGGACTCAGACGCATGCACATGCATGTTCAGAAGAGCACGAGTCACGGTGGCTCACAGATGGAAACAACCTGCTGTCCATTCACCAGAGAGTGGTTTTACACAGCTCACTCCATTTATACAGAGGATTGTTATACGGCCATGAAAAGAAATGAAGTCCTGATATATGCTGGGACCTGAGACACAATGCCAAGTGAAAAAATCCAGACACAAGAGAGGGATGGAATTCTCTATAAGTCCATTTATATGAAATATCCAGGTAGGTAAACTAATAGAGACAGGAAATAGAGTAAAGGGATAGAAATGAGGATGTTACTTTGAGGACTAAGATTTGCCTGACCCAAACCATGGGACTACAATGGCCCCCTATGCATGTGAAAGCCGAACAATGTATAAAGAAGCCTAAAAATGGACATCTTTTCCTGGAGTGCTGAAAAAGAATACTGAATACGCCATGGGGTGACCAAAGCATGAACACATCTGTCTCAAGAGAAGTACAGTTCAAATATTCCTTAGAAGAAAGGATGGTGAGATTGCATCTCACACACTTGGGACATGGTATTAGGAAGGGCCATTCCCTGGAGAAGTCCACCATGCATGAAAATCAGAGGGTCAGCAAAATGAGGAAGACCCTCATTGACATGGATTGACACAGTGGGTGCAGCAACGGGCTCAAGTACAGCTGAGATGTGTGGGTGAAGGAGGACACTGGAGGGTGAAGACGTTAGGAAGGGAAGAGCCCAAGGGGAGTGTGTGTGTGTGTGTGTGTGTGTGTGTGTGTGTGTGTGTGTGTGTAATGCTGGTTGGAATGAGGCCAGATCTCATAGAGGGGAGGACAGAAGCTTGCCCCATGCTCTGCTGTTATAATCACTTATGCCCTCTCTGTTCTCAGGTGGGCCCCACTAAAGACACCACCTTAAGAATCAAGTCAATGCACCCAAAGGGCAAGTACTGCATCCAGGTCAATGCTCAGGATCTCTTGGGCCATGGGGAGCCAAGTGAATGGAGTCCTTCCACCGTTTATTCCATCCCTCCAGGCAAGTAGTGGTGTCCTTCTTCCCAGGACCCCCACAAAGGTGCTCATGGGACCACACTGTCCTCTATTCAAGTCCCTGACCTTGCTGCTGTGTTGTTGAGCTACCTCAGACCCATGACTTTAACCTTTCTGAGCCTCAGTTTTCTCATCTGTGAAATGGGGATGTTCTTCACCTTTGTCCCACAGTGGTGGACAATGAAATGTGATGTGAGAGCCTCCATCGCTTTATTAAACATAGTAGGAGTGTTCATGTCTGAGGCAGTAGCAGGTTCTTGATCTGAACTCACTGCTTCAGAAGAAGGTGGGGCAGCTAGCCTGACTGGGTTTCTCTCTGCTTTCTGACCCAAGAGAAGATCTGCTTCAGTTCACTAGAAAAAAAGGCCTGTGAAAGCAGCCTCCTGAGCCAGACAATTGCCGCAGGTAGGGTAGCCCCAGGTGCTAAAGGTAGTTGATGGATTGGGTGTGAGGAGACGCAAGGCAAAGTGAGGAGACATGATTGGAAAACCTGGAAGCGTTGGTTTTCCCTGTGAGAACTAGCTCCAGCTGTCTTGCTCTCATCTGACTGAGCTTAAGGGGTCCCACGTGATCCAACCAAAGAGCAGTGGCCTCCACAAAGTACCTCATTTAAGGTCAGCATTGCTCCTGGCAGGGCCATCAGCATCAGGGCCAGAGTTCTTAGCACGGCCCAGGTCTGAGGCATCGGGACCAGAGTTCTCAGCATGGCCCAGGCCATGTTACCAGCAGGGGCAGAGGGGCATCAGTGTCAGGACTGGAGTGTTGGTTGCAGCCTTTGCTTTTCTCTCACTCAAATTTCACTGTCCTGCTCACTCCTGGTGGTTCATTGGGTTGTGAAGGGATGAGGGGGGTCGTGGTGGGTCCCAGAGGGTCACTGTGTGTTGCAGCTAGTTGTTGTGTCCTGGTGGCTCACTGGGTCCCCATGGGTCACAGTTTCTGCTGTGTCGGGACTCCCAGCTCAGTTCACTCTTTCTTGAAGGTGGTATATATTTAGTTTTATTCCCTAATTAATAGTCATCCGTGTGTTGTGTGCCAATGCGGCGGTTTGAGCTGACGCCTAGATCTAATTTTGTGTGTGTGATTCATGTACTCAAATGTCTTTGCATGGTGAATAAAACATAGATCCAAAATGGAAAAGATTCTGCAGGGGCTTTTTGTTTACTGAAGCTGCTAAGCCCCCAGGGCTCCTTTTTTGCCTGGTTACTAACTGAGGTCCCATCAATATCACCTCTGCCTGCTCTCTCACAGTAATGGTTGGCCAGCTTTTCTCCTGTCCTCTGGTCCTGCTGGACTCTATTGTTATTAATTTCTAGTTTTGTATCATGTGGTCTGAGAAAGGGCTTTGTAGTATTTCTACATTTTTTTTCAATTTATTGATGGTTTCCTTGTGACCTAAAATGTGATCTATTCTGGCGAATGTTCCATGCACATTGGAGAAAAAGGTATACTTAGCTTTTGCTTTTTTTTTTTCCCTTTCTTCTTTCACTAGCCAGTACATCTGTGAGGTTGAGGTGATTTATTGTGTGGTTTAATTCTTATGCATTTTTGTTGAGTTCTTTCTGGTAGGTCTATCTCTTCTTGAGAGTGGTTTATTGAAGTCTCCTACTACTATCGTGTTGACTATTTCTCCTTTCAGGCGACCAGGGACCACAGCACAGTGGTGGCCTTGTACCAAAGACACGTGTTCAATGCGGTCCAGGTGAGTCTATCAAGAGTGAGTTCACTAGCTGGTCCTTGACACGATGCCCATGTAGCTTTAGGCCAGCCCCTGCATCTCGGTGGACCTCAACCTCCCCATCTGTATCTGGAAACTCTGACCTTGACAGAGTCCCTCTGCCTGTTGTAAACATTTTGTGTTCATCTCTGGGTGGGCTGGCTAGATCAAGCCTGTGGGAGAAGAAGAATGGGGGTTTGGGCAGGACCTCCCAGCCCTCTACTCCCTTTATCTCCAGGGCCAGATTGATAAAGACTTTCAGTGAATCTTCAATCAGATTCTGCAAATGCAGAGGCTCCAAGCACAGGGCTGCTGAAGCCGGCATTTGGGTGCTACTCCTCAGAGGCCTCTGCTCCACCATCCCCTCCCTATGACTGCCCATCTGAGCGGACCAGGTCCACTCAGGCACTGAAAGTGTACACTGCCCTTTCAAAACTTGGGGGACTGTGGAACCCCTTCCTGAATACCTTCACCTGACTGCACCCCTACCTCGCCCCACCTGACCAGAGAGTCTGTGGCCATCCAGGTTCCCCTCCACCTGTCACCAAACGCCAACCCAAGACTGAAACATCCCTGTGCTCACGGCCAGAAAGCAAAGCATGTGGTGCAGCTACTGGGTACCCCTGTGGGCGAGGGGGAGTGTGTGCATGCAAGACAGGGCCCCGAGTGGGGTAAGCGAGGGATTACGAATTTATAAAAAAACTGAGACTAAACCACGTGCTGCAACTCACATTACCTCTGTGTACATCAGAGTAGAACCAGGCTCTGTAAGATTGTCAGTGGATGGTTTTCTGCAAGTAGGTAGCCAGGCTCTCTTCCATGGCACTTGAGCACACTTGAGTGGTTCTTATTTGACTGGCAGCAGTGTGGGGTGGGCTGTCCAGTTAAAACTCTGTTCTTCGGTGGGCACCATGCAGACAGGGTTTGGTCCAGCGGGGTCAGCTGTGACCTGATATGTGAAACAGCTGCCCTTGAGCTGATAGTGCCCCCATATGTGTGAGAACTGATTTCCATGGGGTTTTCAGTGGCTCAGAGCTTTCAGAAGTGGATTCCCAGGCCTGTCTTCAGAGGCACCTCTAGTGAGCACAATTCACTGTGGAAAGGTTTAAAGGGACACACAAACACGGTCATATAGATAAAGCATGTTGGACTTCTTGTTGTTGTTGATTGTCATCAAGTCGAGCACAACTCATAGCGAGCCTATGAGCAAAAGGCTTGAAGCCCCTCTACAACTATCGAGAATTTTCAAAGTTCATAAAGTTTGTGGAGGCATGTTATTTAGGATGTGGATGCCACTCCTGCTTCTGTGATGAAACATCAGGCAATTGATTAGAAAATCAACATGAGGTGGGAGAAAAATAAGCAATGATGATCAAAATATGAGCATTTTCCAGAAACACAGTTGGGGATTGATTGTGTCTCCTGGAAATACATGTCAGTCTGTCTGACTGAGGAGTCTTGGTGCTTCAGCTGGTATGTAATGGAACCAGCGTTCAGTCAAGCAATGTCCTTAATCCCACACACTCCTGAGCTGATGACAGGGCCTTTTAGAAAAGTTACAGACCCAGAACCCCACACATCTCCATGTGTCAGAGTGAGAATGTGAGGAGTTAATGTGCGGGTCCCCCTCGGTGGCCATCTCTCATTACAATGCATCTCTGTGGGTCATCCTGTCCCTCTGTGTCGCTTCCTGTCTTTTCTCCATTGAATATCTCCTTGTGGTCTGTCCTGTGTGTCTGGCAACCTCCACCTCCTCCATCTCTCTCTTTCTGTGTCTTTCATCCCCATGACTCTCTCTGCCTCTATCCTGTCTCTGCATCTGTGTCTCACTCGATATCTGTAGATCTCTCTGTGTCTCTATATAGCAGTCTCTCCGTTGGTGTCCCTCTGTATCCATTTCTGTCTCTCCTTTCTGTGACTCTTCACTTGTCTCTCTGCCCATCTCTAATCTGTGCCTATTTGTATCTGTATAGTTTCTTCAAGTTGCAATACTGAGAGATGCTATTGGAACAACCTTGAATGATCCAGGAAGCATCAAAATAAGCTAGAAAGAAGACAGCAGATCACTCTACAAAAGAAATGGGCAACACTAAAATATTTTCAGATAGCAGTATATGATATGATGTGATATGATATGATATGATATGATATGATATGATATGAAAAGGTGATGAATAAAGATGTTTAAGCTACATTGAAGGCACTGGGAAAAAGAAAAATAAGGTTCCAGAAATCAATGAGATACCAATTTTGTTGTTGTTGTTATGTGCCATCGAGTCGCTTGCGACTCATAGCGACCCTATGTACAACAGCCCTGAACTCTGCTCTGTCCTGTGCCAATTGCACTGTCTCTGACACACCCATCCCGATTACCCCACTGAATCAATCCACCTCCTAGAGGGCCTTCCCCTCCTGGGCTGTAACCTCCACCCTCCCAAGCATGATGTCCTTCTCCAAGGACCGGTCCCTCCTTATAACCTGTCCAAAGTATGTTAGATGGAGCCTCAGAATCTTTGCCTCTAAGTAGCCACCTGGTTTAACCCTTTCCAGTATGAATCTGTTTGTTTTCCTAGCAGCCCATGGTACTCTCAATACTCTTCTCCAGCACCACAGCTCAAAGGCATCAATTCTCCTTTTATCCTCCTTGGTATATTCCAACTCTCTGATGCATAACAAGTTATTGCAAAGACCATATCCTGTATCAGAAGCACCTTAATCTCAACAGATACACCATTTCTCTTCAGTACTTTTGAGAGGTCCCTAACAGCAGATTTTCCTATGCCAATACACCTTTTCATTTCCTGGCTACTGGTGTCAAGAGTGTTGACTGTGGAGTCAAGCAAACTAAAGCTGTGAACAACCTCAGTCTCTTCACCATGCATCCTGATGCTGCCAATTGGCTCAGGGGTGAGAATCTTTGTCTTCTTGACATTGAGCCTCAATCTATAAGGCTGCAGTCCTTGACCCTCTGCAGCAAGCACTTCAGGTCCTCCTCAGTTTCAGCAAGCATGGTTGTGTTATCTGCATAACGCAGATTGTTGATAGATCTTCCAGCAATCCTGACTCCACACTTCTCCTCATAGAGCCCAGCCTCTCAGATAATTTGTTCTGCATACAGGTTGAAAAGGTTTGGAGACAGGAAGCATCCCTGGGGTACACCCTTCCCAATTTTGAACCATGCAGTGTTCCCTTCCTCTGTTCTGATGACTGCCTCCTGGTCCAAGTACAGGTTTCACATTAGAAGGATCAAGTGTTCTGGGATTTTCATTCTTCTCAGAGTCAGCCACAGTTTGTTATGATCCTCACAGTCAAACACTTTTCACAGTCAATGAAACCCAGATATACATTCCTCTGGTATTCCCTGCTTTCAGCTAAGATCCATCTAACATCAGCTGCAATATCCCTAGTACCACGGCCCCTTCTAAACCCAGCCTGGACTTCTGGCAGTTCTCTGTTGATGTGCTGCTCCCGTCCTTTTTGGATAATTTTCAGTAGAATCTTGCTTGCATGTGAAATCAATGAGATTGTTCTATAATTTCCACACTCTGATGGGTCACCTTTCTTTGGGATAGGAACAAGTATAGATATCTTCCAGTCAGTTGGCCAAGTGGTTGTTCTCCAGATTTCTTGGCTCAACTTGGTGAGCATGTCCAGGACCTCATCTGTTAGCTGAAATATGCCAATTGGTATGCCATCTATTCCTGGAGCCTTACTTTTTGTTATTTCCTTCAAAGCAGCCTGAATTTCTTCTTTAATCACCATAGCCTCTTGCTCATATGTTGTTTCATGAAATTCTTCTCTGTCTGCCAATTCCTTTCGATACAGTAACTCAGTATATTCTTTCCATCTTCTTTTAATACCTCCTGGATCATTTAATATTCTACCAAAAGCATCGTTGATTATAGCAACTCGAGGTTTGAATTTGATCTTCAGTTCCTTGAGCTTAAGAAATGCTGAGCGAGTCTGGCCCTTTTGATTTTCTGACTCCAACTCCTTGCACGTTTCATTGTAATATTTTACTTTATCATCCTGAGTGCTGCCTTTTGAAATCTTCTGTTCAACTCTTTAGTATCTTGAATTCTTCCTTGTGCTTTGGTTTCTCTGCACTCCAGTGCAATTTTCAGAGTCTGTTCTTACATCTATTTTGGTCTTCTCTTCCTTTTCTGTCTTTGCAATGACCATTTGGACTCTTTCTGGATGATACCCTTGGTATCTTCCCACAACTCGTCTGGTCTTCGCTCATTAGTGTTCAAAGCCTCCAACCTGTTCCTGAGGTGGTTCTGAAATTCAGGTGGTTCAGACCCAAAGTCATATTTTAGTTCCTGTGGATTTGGTTTAATTTTCCTCAACTTCAGCTTGAACTTGCATATGAGTAGTTGGTGGTTTGTTCCACAATCAGCTCCTGACCTAGTTTTCACAGCTGATATTGAGCTTCTCCACCGGTTCTTTCCACAGATATAATCGATCTGATTCCTATGCATACCATCAGGTGAAATCCATGTCCTACGTTTATGTCTCTTAAAAAATGTATTTTCCGTGAATAAGTCATTGTGCAAAATTCAATCATTCTATCTCCAGCTCTATTTTTGTCACCAATTTACATGTTCCAAAAAATAGATGCAGCCCTGGAGGTGCACACCAGTCTATGCCAGGAAATTTGGAGGACAGCTACCTGGCCAACTGACAGGAAGACATCCATATTTGTTGCCATCCCCAAGGAAGATTATCCAACACAGTGTGGAAGTTATTGAACTCTATCATTGATATCACATTCAAGCAAAATATTGTTGAAGATCATACAAATATGGTGAGAATATTCCATTGACATAGTACTAGCAAAGGTTCAAACTGAGTTGAGAAGAGGCCATGACACCAGGGGATAATTGTTGCCCCACGTGGAAACTGCTCAAATAATGGACTCCAGGAGAATGGCTGTGCGGTGGAAAGGAAAGGGGTCCCCCAAGCAGGGCTTGACTGAAGAGCTTGACTTTGACCCCTAAGTCATGTATGGACATACAGTGTAGGACGGGGTAGACTCAATAACAAAATGTGCATCTATTAGGCCAGGGACACTGTCTCCATCTTACAGATGGGAAAAGGCATAGATAGGGGCATGATAGACTCAGACATGTAGAACACCAGAGACAGATGAAATACGGGGTGAGACTGGGCTTCTGATCTGAAGCTGGCAGTTCTACTCCACAAGCTGCTCTCTGGGGAAATGAGGCTTTCTTCTCCTGTTAACTCAACAGCCTTGGACTGTCAATACAGATGCAGATATGGATACAAATACGGAGTGGGCAGCCCCCCAGGAGATGGTGCCCAGGTGGTGCCTTCAACTGCTGAGCAAAAGATGGGAAACGATCCAGCCACTGGCCCCACGGGAGAACGGCCTAGTCACCTGCTCCCAATTGGTGCCCACGAGTCAAATGCGACTCACAGTGATCCCCTTTTTTCATTCCTGGCTCCTGACTCTCAGTGTAGCAGTTTAGAAAATGGGCTGACAACTCCTGCCTTGCTGAGATGTTGGGTTTCTGATGGCATAGTGGTAAGATCTCAGTGAGAGTGAGACCCTAATTGTGAAACTGTGGCATTGCTATGGGAGAAACGGTGACAAGGTTTAAGCAGAGAATCACTGATGTAAAGGCCCCAGTTAACGGTTTTTGCTATTCTTGCCAGAAGCTTGAAGGAGAAGCTGACTTATAATTGGTCTAAGGCAAACCTTGCTGGATGAATTGTATTTAACTGTTGAACTGAAACCAGATCCTGATCTAACTGAGGCATTATGCCTTGGAATTTGGGCTGAAATCTGGAGTTGCATTGGATGATATTCTTTGCCACCTCCATTCTCTGACTTACTTCCCTAATAAACCCCGTTCTGTGAGGCAGCAATGATACACAGACTTCTTGTTGCTGCAGTGGCTGTAGAAACCCAAGAGGCTGAACTAGGAGCTCCTTAACTGCTTTCTGCTTGGCTGCTGGGAGGGGCTGTGTTCTTCTCACTTGCTCTGGTCCTTACAGAGAGATGTTCATGTCCCTCTGCCACCGTGGCTCATTTCCCCTCTATCAAGGCCATACTGTTTGCAAATACTTACTATGTGTCAGAAAGCTGGACAATCACTAGGGATGATGAATGGAGAATTAATGTCCTTGAGCTGTGATGCTGGGGAAGAGAGTTGAATTTACCATGGACTGCTAGAAGAAGAAACAGGTTTGTCAAAAGAGGGGAAAGCAGTCTTCTCCTTGAAGGCAAGGATTCTGAAGCTTTTTCTCACATATTTCGAACATGTTGGAAGGAGGGACCAGTCCTTGGAGAGTGACACCATGCTTCACAGGTGCCAGAGATGAAGACTGTCGATTTAATGGATTGATTTCAAGAAATGGGATAGTTGGAGTTGGATTATCAGAGACAGTAAGATTGGCACAGGATAGAACAGGGTTTAGGGCTTTTATACATAGGGTTGCTATGAATCGCAGGTCACTCAATGGCACGTAACAACAGACAGTGATACATGACAGTGACTCAGATATGGATCTAAGAAACTAGCAAGGAGGAACGTAGCCACACTCAGCTCTGCTTTGCAAAAAGCCTGTTCCCAACTGTCTCACCCTCATGTCCCTTCATTTCTTCCAGCAGATCTGAGCCTCCAGGTGCAGTGTCGAGCCTCCAGGTACCCGATCAGCATTGATTGCTCCTGGACATATTCCCCAGCTACAAAGGACAACACGTCCACCAACTTCATCACCACATACAGGTCAGAGAGCCACAGGGTAAAACCGTCTTTTAGGAGACCCCACAGTTCAGAGAGCAGACTGGGTTCTAGTACCCCTAGAAGTGTCTTTGAAGAAAGTCCTAGTGATCCTTCAGACCCATAAGCCACACAGTACCATGTGGGGCCCATTTCTGCACTGACACATATGGGATCGACCTCTGGTTTTATTCTGAGCACATACCAGTTGCCATTGAAAAACAGATGCACAGGTTCCAAAGGAATTTTAAATGTTTTACAAAAACAGAAAAAATGCTAGCTTGGAGCTCTTGTGGCATAGTCCATTAGGAGTGCCACTTGTGACCCAAAGGCAATGCCTCTCTGGAAGTTCAAATCCACTAGCAATTCCAAAGATAAAAAATAGGCAGTCTCTTCAAAAGTGATTTACAGGCTTAGAGACCATGTGGGGGGCGGGGAACTGTCACATCTTCCCGGCAATGAGTTTAATTTTATTTTTTCATCAGTAGAATTTTTTTCCCCACTAGACAATGACTTAACCTAAATTGTAAATGTTTGTAAAGAGTTTGATATTTTTTGATTGTGCGTTTTGAATGAGTTATGTGTCATCAGAATGCAAACTGGAAGGTCAGTGGTTCAAGTCCACTAGCAGCTCCACAGAAGACAAATGAGCAGTTTCATTACTTAATAATTTAAAACTTCAGAATCGGTGGTTGATTTGGAACTCAAGGCTCCTCCAGGGTTTCCAAGGGTCAGAATCTACTCATAGTGATGAGTTTGCTTAGGAATTGCTAAGAGCCTGTGGCTAAATTTAAATTAAGGAAAATAAGATGAAACGAAGTCATACCCAGAGGCACTCGCTTCGTCACAAGTGTTCCATACCCAAGCCTCGAAGGTGCACACTGCCTTGCCCAAAGAAAACAATGGGAATATTCCAGGACATTCTACCTGATAGTGATGAAGTAATTCTGAGAACATTCCAAGTTCTGAAATCCAAGAAGTCACAGTAATGTACAGACCAGGATGTCCTTGTTTCAGTTTCCAGAATCTGGGAATCTTAGGCCTCTGGACTATTGGAATTCCACAGGTGTGGGGTAGACATTCCAGAATCCCTTAGAATCCGAACACTGACCTGGAGAGGTCCGGTGCCTGCACAGCCCATCGCCACGCCAGAACAGGACACAGTGCCTTTCTCCTGTCCCCTGGCAACTGCATTCCTCCAGCCCCTCACAGTGCCCATCTTCTGCAGGGTCGGAATGGAAGACAGCAAGCCCTGCAACCAGTCGATACCTGGCTCCCTCAGTTGCAGCATCTCAGACTTCATTAATGTCTCCAAGTTGCCTCACGCGCTCAAAGTCACGGCCATCCAACCCAGATGCACCAGCACCACCATCCTGGGCTTTGTACCTGATGAAATCAGTAAGTGGGGGCATGTGGGGTGGGGGTGGAGGCTACTAGGGGGTTCTTACTCCTTTCTCCCCTCTGTACCTGTCCTCCAAAACTGTCCTCTCTATAATCTATGCAGATTCTACCAACTTTGTCACCAATCCTCCTCCACTTGATTCAGACCTGGTCTCACAGGCCCCACAAGCTCTTCTCTACATGGACACCAGAGGGCGCCCGTGAGTGTGGGAAATCATCCCAGGTCTCTGCCAACAGCTCTCTAGGGCACCCACCTCCCTTGGGTAAAACCCCAAGTCCTCTCCATGTGCAGGGGACCCCGCACGCCCTGCCCCGATCTCTCCCTGCCCTCCTCTCCTCCTCTCTCCCCTTTTCACTCCACTCCAGACACCAGGGATTCCTCCCTCTCCCTCTAACTCGCCCAGCACATTGTGCAGCAGGGAACTTGCAGAGGTTGCTCCTGCTGCCTGGAAGGCTTTTCCCACAGAGAAAGTATGGATTTCCCTGCACTTGCTGCAGGTATCTGCATGTATGCCACCTCCTCCGTGAGGCCTTCCCTGAACACCGTGTTAAAACTTGCAAACCCTCATCCACTGCTGGAGTGAATGAAGATGTTGCAAGAGTTTTAGGGAAGAGTCGGCAGTTCATCAGAAGGTTAAGCACAGACTTTTGTACAACAGTGAAGGAGCTCTGAAGGAGCAGTGGCTCAAGGACATGGCTGCTAACACAATGGTTAATGGTTCAAACCCAATAGCAGCTTCCCAGGAGAAAGCGTTTCTAATTTATATCATCAGTTGTCATTATTTTCTGTTGAGTGTGTTTTAACACAGAGACCCCATGTACGACTGAATGACACTGTGGCTGGTCCTGAGCCAGCCCCACAGCTGCCACTTTTTTCACCCCATTGTCACAGACATCCGGCATTCATTCCAACACACCTCGCTAAGGGGTTTCCTCCCTTTTGCTCACCGTTGTTTTCCCAAGCTTGGTGTCCTCTCCCAGGGACTGGCCCCAGCTGATAACACGCTCAATGTCTGTGAGATGAAGTCTCCTGCCATCTTTGCTCTAAGGCGCAACCTGACTTCACTTCCTTCAAAACAGATCTCTCTGTTCCCCCTGGCAGTCCATGGTGTATTCAATATTCGTTAACAATCTCCCAATTCAAAGGCATCAATTTCCCTTGATCTTACTTATTATCTGACTCTCTCATGCATGTGTGGTGCTTAAAAAACATTGGTGTCAGGTAGGTGCACCTTAGTCTGTGTGGTGGCATCTTTGCTTGGCCTTGGAAACCCTAAGTTTCAGTTCTCTTCCATACTAAAGGGTAGCTGGCAGTCAGAATTGCCTCACTGGAGATGGTAATAAAACACTGAAACAGGGTCACACATATGTATGTACCTGAGTGTTCATAGCAACGTTACTCCTAAAACCCCACACGTAGAAGCAACCTGAATGTAGATCATCACAAGATAGAGAAACACGATGCATCCCCGCTGCCCCAAGAACCCTTACTCAGTCGTGCAGAGCGTAAAAACTCTCCAACGCACTGCTCCATGGATGAGGAGGAGGAGTAGAAGCAGCTGGTCACGAAAACCATGTGTCGTAAGAGTACATTTGCTCATACCGTCCTGACCGGGAAAACCCATAGAGTGATTAGCGGCTGCCTAGGGCTTAGGGTAATGGAGAGTGGTGAGTGGCTGCTGGTGGGTCTGCATTTCTGATGGTGCTGATGAAAATGTTCTAGAATTAGACTGGAGATCATTGTACAACCTGGTGAATGGAAGTAATATCCTGAATTGTATGCTACAATAGGGTAATTTTGGGGGGAGGAGAAACTCACTATCCCTATGGTCTGGGGGTGGGAGGGGTGGTAAGGTTGGGAGTGAAGCTGGGTCACAGCTTTAAAAAAAATTACATTTTAAAATGTCATTTGTTTTTAAATGACAATCCACTCCCAAACTGCTGTCTACTCTGTGTAATCTGCTATCTTCTCTCCTGTTCCTTACCACCTCTTTGATGACTAGAAGTTCCAGGAAGACAGAGCTGGGGTGGTTTCTATCTTAGTTCTGCTTCTGTCCTCTGGGACAGCACTGGATATGCAGTGGGTGATTAATACATACTTATTGGTTGAATGAATGAATGTAACAGGGTCCTGCCTCATTAAATCAAACAGTTCTGCCGAGAGAAGGGACAAGGATTAAATGAAGACGCAGAGAGGCGATCGCTGATGGCGAATAGCAAGATTTCATTTTTTAGACAAAGTATATATAGGCTTTTAGTAGTATCTCTGCTATAACAATCACATTATCTCATACAGTCCCAAGATGTTGACCATCTGGTAAAGCATTAACATTTACAAACGTCAGCACAATACAAAGATGCTTTTCCAGAATACTTTATTGTGTGCTTTAAGGACAAATGGTTTCGGTTCATAAGAACACTATATTCTTTAAGGTTTAAGACACTTTGTCATTCTTATTTTTTAACATCCTTCTTCCTTGAGTTGTTTACTGCCAAGCAGATACTCTAGCCAGGATGGAGTTAGTCTTGCTGGTCTTATGGTAAAGGGCTAATCTTGCATTATAAGTTAGCCAGGTCCTAACATAAATGAATACCTTCTGCTTGTCCATCAGTCAAACCTGACCCTCCGGTGAACATCCATGTGAGCCGCATCTCCGAGGATCATCTGCAGGTGCAGTGGAATCCCCCTGGATCTTGGCCCCTCCCAGAAACATACAAACTCAAATACCAGCTTCGCTACAAGCGCTGCAAATCTAAGCACTACCGGCAGGTGAGGAGCACGAGAGGGAGGGCAGAAAGGGGACTAGAGTGGTACCGGGTATGGCCACCCCGGTTGATGGGACATCACATGCAAACTGGGAAGGGTCAGCAGGGCTTGTGCACACTTTGGGGTGAATGGTGTTTAATATAAAGGAAGTCAGCAATCACACCCCCAGAAGTACACCCACAATTTAAAAACCCACCTCCACACATCGGTGTTCCCTGCAGCTCTCTTTGCAAGAGCCAGGAGAGAACCTTCCCAGGTTCCATCAGCAGGTGGTCTGTCTGCAAAGAAGCATGAAGCCCACCTTGTTGTGATTGTTGGTTCCACCACGTCAGTGTTGACTCTTGATGACCTGTGTGTGCCTTCCCGTGCCACCCTCACCAGGTTCACTGTGCTTGGACCCACTGATCAGTCATGGTGCCATCCACTTCATCACAGCTCTATTTCTCATGTTTTGTCTGTGCTTGGTTCAGACACTAGCCCTGTCCAGGCCTGCACCCTCTTCACAATCTGTTCTGCATCCCCATCCTGGCAGTCACCTGGTCGATCCATCTCTCTGCGCAATTCCTCTTTCATTGACTGACTTTACTTCATCGATCATGAAGTCTTCCTCCAGGGCCTAGCCCTTCCCCAAAACATCCTCAGAATAATTCTCCTCCCAGGAGTGTGCTCAGAATAACCGAAGGACTCAGACACATGCACGTGCATGTTCAGAAGAGCATAGGTCATGGTGGATAACAGGTGGAAACAACCTGCTGTCCATTCACAGAAGAGTGGTTTTACACAGCGCACTCCATTTATACAGAGAATTGCTATTTGGCCATGAAAAGACATGAAGTCCTGATATATCCTGGGGCCTTAGACATGATGCCAAGTGAAAACAGCCAGATACAGAAGACGGATCGTGTGCTGTGAAAATCCATTTATGTGAAATATCCAGAATAGGTAAACCCACAAAGACAGAAAACAGATTAAAGCGATAGAGTACAAGAATGTTACTTTGAGGCCTACTATGCGCCGGACACAAGCCATGGGATTTCAGCTAACCCCTATGCATGTGAAAGCTGGACAATGAATAAGGAAGACAAAAGCATTGACACCTTTAAACTGTAGTGCTGTCGAAGAATATTGAATACACTGTTATGGTGACCAAAGCATGAAAACATGTGTCTCAAGGGAAGTGCGGCTTGGATTTTCCTTAGAAGAAAGGATGGTGAGATATCATCACACACACGTGGGCATGGTATCATGAAGGGCCATTTCCTGAAGTCCATCGTTCGTGAAAAAAAAAGAGAGTTAGCAAAAAAGAGGATGACCCTCATTGACATGGATTGACACACTGGGTCCAGCAGTCGGCTCAAGTACAGCTGAGATATGCGGGTGAAGGTGGACACTGGAGGGTGAATAGGTTGGGAAGGAAGGGGCCCAAGGGAAGAGTGTGTGTGGGGTGTGTGTGTGAGTGTGTGTGTGTGTGTGTGTGTGTGTGTGTGTGAGTGTGTGTGTGTGTGTGTGTGTGTGTGTATAATGCTGGTTGAAATGCGGCCAGGTCTCATAGAGGGGAGGACAGAAGGCTGCCTCATGCTCTGCTGTTCAAGTCACCCATTACCCTTCTTTTCCCAGGTGGGCCCCACTGAAGACACCACCTTAACAATCAATTTGGTTCACTCAAAGGGCAAGTACTGCATCCAGGTCAATGCTCAGCACTACTTGGGCTACGGGAAGCCAAGTGAATGGAGTCCTTATACCATTTTCTCCATCACTCCAGGCAAGTAGTGGTGTCCTTTCTCCTGGCACCTCCGCAGAGGTGCTCATGAGACAATGCTGTCCTCGATTAGAGTCCCTTTTGCTACTGTGTTGCTGGGCTACCTCTGACTGGTGACTTTAACCTTTCTGAGCCTCATTTTTCTCATCTGTGAAATCAGGTGTTCTTTCTCTTTGTCCCACAATGGTGGGCAGTGGAATATGAATATGAGAGTCTTCATTGCATTTTTAAAAACAATTGTTATTGAAATCCAGAGTTTCCCTCCTTTCAGTGGACACAAATGAAAATCCATTGTACTCTTAGAAATGGGCTCTGTCCTCTAAAAGACAAGATGACGGCAACAAACAAGACAAAGACACAACAGATTTCTGTTCTCCTGGGGTTAGTGCTGACCATGGGGGCTGGGAAAAGAGATCTGGGGCTGGGGAAACAGGGCTCTGAATGTTTCTCTGAGGAGAAGATGTGGCAGTGGCAGTAAGGCCTTGAAGATCAGAGAATGTTCAAGGGCTTGTCTGCATTTCATTTATATCCGACTCAAAGAGAGACCAGCCCTGAGTATCCTTCTTGGCCAGTAGAATAATGCCCCTCAAAGATGTCCTTGTCATAATCACCAGAACCTGCATGAAAGACAAAAGGGACTCTGCTAATGTGATTAAAGTGAGGTTCTTAGTACCCGGGATTATTCTGGATTATCAACAGATGTAATCACAAGGGAGACAAGACGTTTTGTCATGGATTGAATTGTATCCCTCCCTGATACATGTCAACATGGATGAACTGTGATTTCCAGTGGTGGAAAAGCTAAACAATCCTATAATATCTACTTTGATGAGCTGACATGATCCCCAGTGTAAGAGGACTGGTGTCAGATGCAGCCCCATCATTCAGGTTACAGCCTTGTAAGGGGCACTTCCCTGGAAATGTTCTGCATCACCTCTTATTTAACATGAGATTAAAAGAGAGGGAAGCAAGCAGAGAAAAGGGCCCTCCAGAAAGAAGACCTGGGAGAAGAGTGAGTGCATGTTGGGACTAGGAGTCCCTGTGCTGAGAACCTTCTATATCCAAGGGAAAACTGATGTCAAATTGTACAGATCTCCAAGGAATGCCGAGCCTATAGATGTTGGAAAGAGACAAGGGCGTCCCATAAGGATGCTGGAGAGAGAAAGCCTTCCCTTTTAAGTGAATGTCCTGGATGCAGCAGGAGTCAGAGTAGGAAATGTGAGCAAGGACTTAGAGCCGAGAACCATGTAGAACCATAAACCAAGGAAATCATAAGCTCTCTAGAAACTAGAAAACACAAGGACATTTATCTACCCTGGAGCCACTAAAAGAATAAAGCTACAAATAGCCACTCCACACTTCTGACCTCTGAGTTTATAAGACTGTAGTTTTCTTTTTTCTGAAACTTCTGCATTTTTTGTGATTTGTTACAGTGACAGTCAGCAGCTCACACGCTGTGTAATAATGGACACTATCCAGCACTTCATGTACATTGCCTTCATTTATTTTCTAGAGTATTTAGTTGTTGTTGTTGTATTGTCAGTTACCATTGTGCAAATTTCAAGGCATAATATTACATTTGACACAGGTTTTCTTCGCTACAATGAATGTATTTATTAGAAAAAACTTTTTAAATGATATAAACTTTATACATGATGTTGCTGGATGATACAGAAATGACATAGATTACTCCTTTGGGAAGAGATGTTGGAGGAAAGTTCCTGAAAGAAGGACCATCAGAATGTTCTTCAAAAACACACATCATGAGACTTGATCTCATAGATATTTTGACACATGATCAGGAGGGACTCATGCCTAGGAAAAGACATTGTGCTTGGTTATGTTCAGGAAGAAACTCAGAGAGGCAGAATGATGCAGTGGAGGCAACAATGGGGTAGAACCCCAACAGCTGTGAGGATTGCATTAGACCAGCCAGCAGAGCATTTTGTTCTACATAAAGTAGAGAATGTAAACTGACTCAAAGGAACCTAAGAACAAGAATTTTTACTGAAGTACATCTGCAGTTATTTTCCCCTCAAAATGGTCAACCTGTTGGTTGGACCACCATACTATTTACTATGCACTGAAAAGATCCTAACAAGACCTGGTGGAGTAATGCCACAGTGTGGAGCTATTACCCTAAAGGACTGTGGGTTGAAACCACTAGCTTCTCTGTGGGAGAGAGATGGGGCATATTCCTCCTAATGTGCAAAAAGAGATGAAGTTTTACCATCCTTGCCTCTTAGGAATATCCTGCTTGCCCTTTCTCTAAAACATGTTTGTTCTTTCTCCAATCCATGAGATATTCAGAATTCTTCTCCAACATCACAACACATAGACATAAATTCTTTTATAATTTCTATTCATTGTTAGATTTTCTTAGGCAGACAGAGTAAATCATAGGAAAGATGATGGTTTCATCAGGTCCATCCTAGTTTTTAAACTGGCATCATTGCTCCTTAACACCATCTGCTGTATCACAAGATGACATGAAGGCATCAGATAGAATATTCCCCTAATGCAGCATGACTTTTGATTTCTTGACTGTTAGTACCAAGGGTGTGGACTGGAGATCCAAACAAGGAGAAATCATTGGCAACTTCAATCTTTTCAACATCATGCCTGGCAGATATATGATAGAATGTGAAATGTGAAGAAATTGAGATTGCTAACAACTATATTTTGCTTCATAGTAAACACTCTTGGTAGGAGCCGCCAGGAAATAAAAAGATGAATTGTCTGGGACCTCTCCAGATTACTGAAGGGCAACGACTCAGTCTGGAAACTAAGTTGTGCCTGATCCAGGCCATCATCTTCACAATTACTTGTTATGTATTAGAAAGATGAACAATGACAAGAGATGACACAAAGAGAATGGATGGCTTTGAGCTGTGGTGCTGGAGAAGCATTTTGATTGTACCATGAACGGCCAGAACAATCAAGTCTGTCCTGGAGAGGGTGAACTCAGCTGCTCCTTGGAGGCAAGATTTTTGAGGCTTGGTCTGGCACCCTTTGGACATGTTGCAAGGATAGAGCAGTCCTTGGAGAGGGACATCGTGCTTGGGAGTGTGAAGGGACAGTGCAAAAGAGGAAGGACTTCAACTTGATGGATTGATTTCAGTAACTGGGATAGTTGAAATAGGAGTGTCAGAGACAATAACATTGACAGGGTTTAGGGCCCCCATATATGTGACAGTGGAACTGTGCACCGTCGGGGTTTCAGTGGCTCAGAGCTTTCAGAAGTGAATTACCAGGACCGTCTTCTGAGAAACCTCTGAGTGAGCACAAACCACCTTGGAAAGGTTTAAAGAGGCAACGAAAACTTGATAATGTTGATAAAGTATGTTGAATTGTTGTTGATTGCCTTTGAGTTGAGAACGATTCAAAGTAAGACTATGAAAAAAAGGCTTGAAGCCCTTCTACGAATACAGACATTTATCAAAGTTCATAGAGTGTCTCGAGGCATGTTACGTACAATGTGGATGCCACTCCTGCTTCCATGATAAAACCTATTATCCAGCGTTTGGGTTAAAAAATCAAGTTCGAGGTAGGAGAACATAAAGCAATGATGAACAAAATATGAGGATTTTTTCAGGAAAAAATTATCAAGGATTGATTGTGTCCCCTGGAAATACATGTCAGTCTCTTTGACTGAGGAAACTTGAGGGTTCAGCTATTATGTAAGGGTCACTACTGTTCAGTCAAGCTGGTGTCTCTCTGTATCCCTGGCATATATTCTCTCTGTGACTCTTCTCTTGTTTCTCTCTTCGTAACTTATCTGCATCTATTTGCATCTGTATGGTTGTTTTGAGTTGCAATACTGAGAGATGCTATGG